GGATTCATAGTCCTTGCGTCGAAGACAAAGCTCCTCCAGTTTGGTCTATGTCTCCGGGAATCATTCATTGACATTCTCTACAAAAAGGTCTGGTCCATTGTGCAATGGCACACACGTAACATAAGCATAAATTATGTAACACCATGTGTATATGTATGATATAGTCTATTCAAGCAGTGTGCAATGTCTATATTGTCATTTAACGTACCTTGAACTCACGAATGCCTCTGCGTCTGTCAGTGTTCGAACAGAATGCAGATCCTATTTTCGATCTTCCCAAAGAAGGAAATAACTCAAAATAGAAACACTAGGCCAACTGCCAACTGGGATACATTGCACCATAGACTAATTGATCGTCACTTCAGGAAGATCCTTTACTTCCAGGTCCATGGTGAGTCACGGTCGACGTCGAGCGGTCGCAGAGCTCCTTGGTGAGACTCTTCCTGTCCGTGACGCGCACATCGATCGGCTGGGAGGAGTTTCCGCCCATGGCGATGGGCGATGGTCGCGTCTTTGGCCACTGCAGTGGAGAAGGAGTGCGAGTCTGTTTGCTGAACAACAGACCTGGGCTGGAGTCGGTCATGCTATGGAACCCAGGCGCCGGATTCAGTAACCACTGACCAATCCTAAAACATGGGGCTCATCTGCCACTTCGCCGTTGATGGGCCTTGAGGGAGCGACGACGCACGCCACGTGTAGACCGGTGTTCCGGAACAATCACCCCGGTCTGAGGGGAACCATGGAATCCACCCTAAGAACCCCGGTCCGCAGCGCATGGCAGGCTCCATAGCATGTGTAAGACACTGGGCCCGGATTCTTAGGTCCTCACAGCGTGTCAAACCACGAGGGTGACACACCTCGTGATCACTCCATGAGACTGGAATAGGACTGCCGCCCCAGAAAGATCCCCCTTGGCACCACCCCTGGCCTGATCGGCAAATATGGCAGTCCCATGGAGCGTCTGGGTATTTGATACAATATCGTTTAATCCTGGTTCTTCCCCCGGCTTGAAATGTAACTTATAGGAGTTAATAGATTGCAAGATAGTGTTCACAGAACCGAAGAAGGCACTGTGGGCAAAGAAGCCGCTGTGGGGCAAAAGAAACCTCGTTCCAACTGCAGATCGATTGGAAGCAACTTCACCACGTCCACACGGCGACCAAAGACGGGTCTCCGAAGCGTCCGGACCGTTCACAGCGTTCGAGCCGTCTTCATCGCAGTCGATTCAACATCACTTGGGTCTATCCTATTACCTGCATGTAGCAGTGGATGATGATGTGAGTTAGTTAGTAAAGGATTCATTGTTTACTGACTGTTACAGGCCAGTTCGGACAAACCCCAAACATCACCCACCTCAGAAATACTCACAACTTTTGGCTCTTTAAGCCAAGAGTTGCATTGGCTCCCCACACCACGTGTCAACGCACCCCAAAAGGGTCGAGGCTCTAAGGCTCCATACCACAGAGCCACTGGCACTCGATAGTTCTCCCTGAGCTTCGCCTGGATCAGCGGCGTGTCGTGGGTCTGTTGCGCGGCCGGCCTTCGAGCCTCTGGCCGTCGCGGTGTATGGTTGCAAGAGTTGATGATGGGCGCAGTAACCTTTGTGCAGACCAGGTTGGGAAGCGATCGGAACTAAGTCTGCTTCCCCAAAAAACTGTCCAATGGCCTCCCGAATTGGCGATTGCCCCTGAGAAGTCCAGCGATGGGGAGAGCCTTTCAACGGAGCCGCCGGCGACAGGAAAAAGGACCTGATTTCACTCGATTTCGAGATGCACTTCTTGAAGCCAAGGCGGCCCGGCGAGAGATTGGCACATCAGGACGCAAACGTCGAGTTTCGAATTCCCCCTACTATATGCCCCCCCCCCCAAAAAAAAAAAAAAAAACAACGCAAACGTTCTCATCTGGTTTCTTCTCGCGCATTGGGAGCGAGAAATAACACCACAAACCCTGAAAAAAAAAAACAGTCCCAGCCAGAAACCAATAGACAGTAACTGATTCCGGCACGAAGTCTACAGATCCTTGACTGGGGGACCACCTCGCGACCTTCGGCCCCGCCTGGCATGGCCTCCACGGGTTCGCCTCCGCGACGAGGTCCAGTCCATTGAGCCCCCGTCCAAAACCGCTGCATGGGGACCCTGGAAGAGGTTCCATGGGTCCCTGGGGTGCTTGAAGTCGGGGACACGACATGGGAGTGCCAGGGATGCCGCCCCGGCACAACCCTTAACTGATCGGCAGTCCGGACTGGCAGTCCCATGGGGTC